AAAAAAAAATTTTTTTTTCTTCCCCCCCCCCCCCCAAGGAACTGAGTATATGTGTAGGTATATATGTATGTATTATTTAAAGAGCTGTTTTTTTTCTGGTCACAGATCATTTTGAGCATGTGTGTGCTGGTATAGCTATCTGCTGCCCAAAGTCTGTTTCATTTCATTTTCCCCACCTGTGTATCCCAAGTGTGTTTTTAACTGACTGGGATGTCAGCAGTGCTTCTGCACTCCAGAATGTTTTCCCCATCTCAGTGCTTTAGAGAAGGCAAAAACGTCACCCTGTCACCTCTTTTTCATGAGAGTCTTATTTCATGAGGCAAAAGCTACTATTAGAGCGTGTCAAGTTTAGCACACAGGAGCTGGTGAACTTGCTAGCGATTTTCCCCTCATGTCCCCTCTGTCGTGGGTGGTTTATGTATTTGTTTAACAAGATCCAGTAGGCAGATGGCTTAGGGCCAGAAAGGGCTGACCTGTGGATTTAGACAGGTCTCCTGGCCTCCCCTCCCTCCCCCCTTTGATATTTAATTTGAAGTATGCCAGCCATTCTTTGATACTGGTCTGTAACTTTCTGGTCAAAAGGCCTATCAGTTCCTTCAGTGGTCTTCCCAAATGTTCAACAGCACTGTACCAGACGGTCCCAAAGTCAGCTTCCTGGACTGCTCAGCAGCCCTTTACTGGACAGTCGCCAAAGCCTTCTCTGTTTACAGTGCCATATACAGACATAGTTCCCTTTGATTCTCCTTGTCTCTTCAGGTGCCCTGTTTAGTAATTGTTCCTGTTAGGTACCAAATTCAAGTCCAGTTTCTTCAGACAAAGTTGTTCATTTTTTTTCTGGGTAATAGAGCCTACAAGCAGGCAGGTCTACGCAAATGTTGCAAAAGGCTGGCTGCTTTAACTTTATGCATTGTTACAGAGTACATCCTACAAAAAGATACAAGTTGCATACCTGCTTTCTGAACAGCTGCAGGAAAAAGCAACATCCTGTCCCAGAGAGCTGTATGTTTGCCATGTGTGCTTGTGTGCCTATTTAATATGCAAATTAGATGTTACTTAGCTTAGTACACCATTGCAGAATGGTATTGTTTCTGAGTCAGAATAACAGATCACTTGGCTTCAGTTCTTTTTCCATTCTAATTGGTGGGGTTAAAATGCATTTCTGCATACAAAAAGAACATTAATTCATATACTGACTAGTCTAAACCCCTTTCCCTTTGTCTTTTGATTTACCTAATTATCTTGGTATGACTTTTCCTATTTCAGCCAATTTTTGTTGTACAGGTAAGGCCCTAAAGGTGTGTTGATTTTCTTGATTCACATAATCTACATTTGGAAATAAATTTGTTTGTATAAGCACCTACTATATTTTCCTGTTGGTTAAACTTCCTCTTTCACACTTTTCTAAAAGGAAGTTGCTATTAGTGTTATATAATGGGAAGATACCACATAAAAAGGTAAAATCTAAGGATAGATTTGATAGAGATTAATTATTGGAAATGCCTAAACATACATAAACTATAAACTGCCTAGGGTTGCAGTTGGTTGGTACACTTAGATTCCAATAATGCAGAATAAGTTCTCAGGCCAGTTGATTAACATGAATTATTTTTATGGTATTACTTCCCTTTTTGTCTTTTTGTTTACATTTTTCCTTTGTGCTCCCATTTTTTTTGAATACTTTATACCCCACAGGAAAGGCCGCCCTTGATAATAGCCTGTTCAAGATTTTGGTTTTTCAAAATAGCTTTTTCAGTGTGCTTAAAACCCAGCATTGGTGTGTGTTTAGCTTGTGTAGTAAGCTGTAGCTTCTCTACTCCCCAGCAAAGACACAAATAACAGAGAATTATAGTGATGCCTTTAACATGCTAAGATTTTATTTTTGCAAAATATGCAAGTCATACAATATTATAACTACATATAATCACAACAAAAGTTGAGTTTTCTACATCCTGAATGGTGAGTACTGTCCTAGATGATGTGTGGGTCTCAGAACATCTCTAATTGACCTTTTACTTTTCATTAAACAATGTTTCTAATACATTCATTTGAAAATGTAATGCAATCCAAATTCTCCAGTAGGTAGGAGGAGGAGTGCCACTGTAAGTACAAGCATAAGGTTTACATTTTGAGATTATGCTTGCTCATGATAAGCCAGGTCTTCATGTGGTACAAATCAACTTGGGTCCATTGAAATTATTGATAGGGAATCTGATTTTGTATGCTTACTCTAAGCTTAAATTAAATACAGTTACTGTTTCTTCTCCCAGCACAGATTCTGTCACCTCCTTTTTTCCCCATGTGATTAATAGATTAATATAACTCAACAAAAGTACTTTGACTAACATGATTCCTAGATTGTAAGGGGCTGGAAGGGACCTCACAAGATCATCAGGTCCAGACCCCCTGAGCTAGTAAGGAAAGACAACTGGGGTCAGTTGACCCAAGCAAAGTGACCATCCAGGCTCCTCTTGAAAATTTCCAGGGTAGGTGATTGCACCACTTCTGGAGGGAATTTATTCCACAGTCTGGACACCCTGACTGAAGAAGTTTTTCCTACTGTTAAGCCTGAAACGGTCTTTCAGGAGTTTGTGGCCATTATTGCTGGTTTTCCCCAAGGCTGCCCTGGTGAACAGTTGTTCGCTGAGCCCTTAATGTATTCCACTGATATAGCGGTAAGCTGCTACCAGGTGCCCTCTCAGCTTTCCCTTTTTTTAGGCTGAAGAGACCCAAATCCCTCAACCTTTCCTCATATGACTTGCATTGCAAGTCTCTGATCATATGGGTAGCTCTTCTCTGCACTCTTTCAAGCTTTTCCATGTCCTTGTTGAAGTGTGGTGTCCAGAACTGGATGCAGTACTTCAGCTACAGTCTCACCAATGCTGAGTAAGGCAAAAGAATCACTTCTTCGGTTTTGCTTAAGATGCATCGGTTGATGCATGCCAGAGTATTGTTTGCCCTGCTGGCTGCAGCATTGCACTGACAGCTCATGTTCATACTATGGTCTGTTATTACCCCGAGGTCCCTTTCAGTCATGGTGCTAGTCACTTTCGTGCCATCACCTTAAGTATGTTGGTGATTGTTTGTCCCCAAATGGAGCACTTTACACTTCTCAGTGTTGAACTTCATCTGGTTCCAACCTGCCCAGCTTACCAGCCTGTCTAGGTCCTCCTGTATCTGCAGCCAGTTTTCAAGCGTGACCGCACTCCCCCATAACTTGGTGTCATCCATGAACTTGGCCACTGAGCTCTTCACCCTCACATCCAAATCATTGATAAAGATGTTGAAAAGCACTGGACCAAGCACGGGACCCCCGAGGGACCTCACTGGCCACTTCTCACCAGGACAACACAGATCCTTTCATTGGAACTGTCTGGGTCCTACCCCACAGCCAGCTTCCTACCCACCTAACTGTCAAGTAGTTAAGCCCGCAGTCCTCCAATTTTCTCATGAGAACATCATGGGATACCAGATCAAACAGTCTTTTGGAAGTCTAGGTATACAGTGTCAACCTCCTCTCTCTCATCTAGGTGGCGAGTTACCTGGTTGTAGAAGGTGATGAGATTGGTAAGACAAGACCTGTCTGCAACAAAGCCATGCTGGCTGTTGTTCAGAATCCTACCTTGTGTGCAAGCATGTTGCACATAGACTCTTTGAATTTTTCCACGTTTTTCCCTGGGATAGAAGTTAGGTTAATTGGGCTATAGTTGCCCGGGTCCTCTCTCCTTCTTTCTTGAAGATGGACACAACATTGGCCCTCTTCCACTCTTCAGAGACCTCCCATGAGTGCCACGAGTTTTAGAAGAGTTTCTCCAGAGGTCCTGTGATGACTTTGGCTAGCTCCTTCACGCTCTCAGATGAAGTTCATCCGGTCCTGATGACTTATAATTGTCTAACTTTTCTAACTGATCGTGTACTAGCTCAATGTCAACAGTAGGAAGGTGGTCGTTCCCACCAGGCCTATTCTGAACCTTGTCTAGTATGATTTTCCTTTTAGTCCAGTGAAGTACTGAAGCAGAGTAGTCATTCAGGAGTTCAGTTTTCTCCTGAGTGTTGGTAACCAGCTGTTAAGCAATGGCCCCATGCTCCCATTTGTTTTCCTCCTGTTCCCTACATACCTAAAGAAGGACCTCTTATTGTCCTTGATTTCTGTTACTAGTTTAAATTCAATTGCTGTCATAGCCTTTCTAATGTGCTCCTTACAGGTGTGGGCCATTGTTGTATAGTCCTCCTTGGGGACTGTCCCAAGCTTCCATTGTTTGTATACCTCTTTCTTCTTTTTAAAGATATCCCTATTAAGCCAAGAGGGCCTACCAGCCCTTGGACTTACTTTGTGCTTTGTGGATTGTGTCCTTGAGGAACAAGTAATCTTCATGCACTCCTTTCACCTTCGGTCCCTGGTCCTGCAGTGCTTCCCCTACTATTGCCCTGAGCCTGTTGAAATTCACTTTTTTGAAGTCTAAAACTTTAACCCTGATAGCTGATTTGCCTGCCTTGCAGTAGACAGTGAATGTGATGGTTTTGTGGTTGCTGTCACCCAGGCTACCCTCTAGATTCTAGTCACTCACCAGATCATCTCCTTTGGCTAAGACCAAGTCTAAGAGAGTGTTACATCTGGTTGACCTGTGCACTTCGTGAGTCAGGTAGAGCTCTTTGATACAGGTCAGGAAGCAATGCAACCAATCCAACTTAGCTCAGTGTTCCTCCTGAGAGATGTCTGGGTTATTGAAGTTGCCCACGATGACCATGTCCTGTGCACAAGCAGATTCTGCCAGTTCTCGAGAGAACTCCAGATTGAGCTGCTCCCCCTGGTTTAGTGGTCTGTAGTATACACCTACAGTTAGGTCTCTCTCACTGCGGCCACGTGCCCCCACCCCCGGTAATTTGACCCAGAGGGTTTTGAACTGCTCTTCTTTGGAGTTGATGTTGGCCTCCAAGGAGCTTTACTGCTCCGTCATGTAAAGAGCTACACCTCCACCCTTCTTCCCTACTCAGTCCCTTCTGTGCAGGGTGTAGCCCTCTATGGCTATGTTCCAATCATGTGAGGAGTCCCACCAGGTCTCTGTAATCCCTACTAGATCGTAATGCCCACTGGAGAGTAGGAGGGCTAGCTCCTCCTGCTTGTTCCCCATGCTCTTGGCAATAGTGTATGGGCACCTGAGTCCTCCAGTTGAGACCCTTGATTTCCTGTCATGCTTTGGGAGAGCCATTCCTACAGTTTTTGTAAGACTGGCTCTCCTAGTGTCCCTAGCTTCAGAGTTTTCTTTGTGCTGGTCCCCAGGCATGTTCCCATCAGTGTTTCCCCATCCCCCAGTGATCTTAGTTTAAAGCCCTGTCTAGAAGATCGGCGCTGAGAACAGGGACTTACCCCACTGCATGAAGTGGATGCTGTCCCTTCCCAGGAGTCCTCTCTCCCTGAAACGTATGATGATGGGTGATGGCAGTGTTTAAGTATCATCTGATTAAAACACTCTGTCAAACTAGGCCATCTTGTAATGTTACATAACTGTTTTCTGACTTTATCCTGCAGTTCTTATTAGACAATGTCAGCTGGAAGAGTACGGGCAAAAAAAAAGGCATCGTCTGTGGATCAGTCTCCAGATAGCCTTCCTTTGCGGAGCTCTGGGAGACAGGTATTTTATAGTATTCAACATCATTATTTCTGCGCCTGTTTAACACTTGCTATGAATGGACTTCCCTGGTGGTTTGTATTCTAGAACTTGCCTGTTTTAAAAATTAACTTAAAATTGGAGGAACAGATGACAGTAACCTCTTTTGACTTTGACTAGGACCGGTAGGCTTTAAACAAGAAGAGTTTTAAAGATAAAAGAGAAGGAAGATATGATGCTTGAAACCAGTGGAATACAAAGGAGTTTAAATATTAGCTTATAGTTTCATAGTTTCTAGGGTCGGAAGGGACCTGAGTAGATCATCTAGTCCGACCCCCTGCCATGGCAGGAAAGAGTACTGGGGTCAAACGACCCCAGCAAGGTGTATATCTAGCCTCCTTTTGAAGACCCCCAGAGTAGGAGCAAGCACCACTTCTCTTGGAAGTTGGTTTCAGATCCTAGCTGCCCTGACCGTGAAGTAGCGCCTCCTGATATCTAGCCTAAATCTACCCTCTGCTAGCTTGTGACCGTTATTCCTGGTCACTACTGGTAGTGCTCGGGGGAACAGGGACTTCCCCAGTGCCTGCTGGTCCCCTCTGACTAGTTTGTAACAGGTCACTAGATCCCCCCTCAGCCTTCTCTTGTGGAGGCTGAACAGGTTCAAGTCCCGTAGCCTCTCCTCGTAGGGCCTGCCCTGCTGCCCCTGGATCATGCAAGTGGCCCTCTTCTGGACTCTCTCTAGCTTAAACTAGAAGCTCTGCTGATAATTTCTTTAATGGTAGCAACCAGAAGACCAAAGCAAAAAAGCCTTTAGCTCAAATGTATGTTGCCATAGTTGTTGTTTTCTGTACAACTAGCTTATTTCAACATGCTGCAGCTTTTTCAAAGAGAATCCAAAGATTTGATTGATATTATTATTTTAATTAGTTGTTGCTGTGTCCTGAACTACAAAACCAGTAACGCCGTGATGGAACATAAAAAATGCATTTGCCATCTCCAGTAAGTTTTAACTGTTCTTTATTAGGTGAAGAAGAAGGCGGCTGAAACAGCAGATGACGACGATGAAGCAACATCGGAGAAGAAGTACAGAAAGTGTGAAAAAGCTGGTTGCACTGCAACATGTCCTGTTTGCTTCGCAAGTGCTGCCGAAAGGTTTGTGCCTTTATCTGCAGACTTTTTTCTTTTTTTTCTGACAAAAACCCTTCCATCTTCAAACAATATAGTATAGGCTTAGGATGCCTGTGAAGCACCACAACAATATCTTTTGCAGATGACCTTCTGCTGTGTGACACTAATCCTAAAATAATATTTTTCTAGGATATAGGTTATTAATGCAGCAGATCTATTTTCTGGCACAGCTTCTGTTTTAGTGAAACTGAGAGCATGCTTATTGAAATACAAGGCAGCAAAATTGCTGAAATTCTTACTTCTGTGCTCTGGTGTAGTGCTGTAATCTCTAGCTAAGGTCCTGACCCTACAGGATAACTGTTTTAATTATAATCCTTTGTTCTTATTTGACATAACTTTCTCTGAACTTCTATATAAACACTTCTGCATTTTTGTCTTTGGAATTTTGAGACAGTATTAAATGGGCAAGGCCTATAATAAGCAGCATGGTATGCTTAGTTAATATGGTAAGGACACTGCAATTTATGTGACATTCTCTTCCCAGCCTAATAATTAGAGTGTGTGCCTTGTGCTATTTATTTTAAGATAATGTTAAATTATTTTATGCTGCCTTCAAGTTTTAAATTGTTTACATGTTGTAATGTTTTGTACTGAGAATCAAAATATATTCTGGAAGTTGTTAGAGAACAGCTGGACAGTTAGGCAGCTGAGAAGGAGGCTTCTGGTACTTGTGGCATCCAGCAAACCAGACTCAATTTTGTGTTTTTCTAATTTTTGTTTCTAAAAGACACTTTAGATTTCTCATTCATTTTTCAAGCTTTATTTTTATGTTTGTTTTAAATACTTCTGTATTATTACATAACTGAAATTGGATAGTTTTGTGACTAACTGGCTTAGGCCATTTAATTTTACCATCGCTTAATTTTATATTTAAGGAACAAAATTGTGTATCTGTTCAGATTCTTTCATTTACTGAAAATAACAACCAACTCCATAATTGTACAAAAATAATTGGGCAATATGTATTTCACGTGTACAGGCTGCTGCTAAATCTATGTCTAGTTATGTTCTGTTATACTTACCAATTAATGAAGCTGTTAGTTTGGAGGCAAAGACTATGTATTCCTGTATATCTAGAAAAAACATAGCTTTTCCTGGCATAAATAATAAGAGTGACCACTGCCAATGTTTAACAGATACTTCTGGGCATCTAATTAATTGGTACTGGGAAGATCTGTGTGGAGCTGTGCTGAACCTGCCTTGCTAAAGTGAGACTGTTGTAATCCCAAGCTAGTTACAATGCTACACAAAGCATCTGTTTGTGCTGCCTTTGCACCCAGCATTGAAATAAGAGGTTTTTGATGCATCTAAAATGATTGTTTACTTAGTAGTAGTAGTAAAAGTAGTAGTTACTATAGTATCTAAACTCAAGACCCCCATTACACTAGGCAATACATGAATATATACATCAGGTAAAAGCGGTAAAGAATCAAACTTATTTCTGCCCTGCCCTGCGCTTACTATTTGTTCAATTTTTAGAATGTATGACAGTCCATACAAAAAATATACTGTAATCTGTTCTGTGCTCTCTTGTTTCATAGGTGTGCTAAAAATGGCTACACATCTAGATGGTATCATCTCTCCTGTGGGGAACACTTCTGCAATGAGTGTTTTGATTATTATTATCGAAGGTATGCTTACTGAGGCCAGCCATGTCATTTTGTTAGATATAGAAAGTGTGCAGACAGCCTCAGTCATTAAAACAAATGTTTTTAAACACTGTCCTTTCTGCAATCTCTTGAAGTTAAGCTTGTGTACAGGACTGTGAGTGGTACAGATTGCAGGAGGTTTGTTAGGCTGTCCATCAGTGGAAGCCTGGTAATAATGGCTGAGTGTCAGTGTATGTGACACTTTTTTTATTTTTTAAGAGTTCCTTCTTTAAAGGATGCAGATGAACAAAACAGAGTAATAAGAATAATTACTTGTTGTTATGTACTTTTAAACAGTAACTCAAAAGCCTTTTTGGCTTTTAGATTGACTCTAGCACAATTGTGCTTGTTTTTTGTAACTAAATATACCTACAATGACCTGGAGATGATGGAGATAGAAATTTAGTTTTACAAAGGGACTCTTAGATTTAAGGTATCCTAGTCAGTGAATGAATTTGATATTTCCAATTCCTTGACAGGGAAGATTAACATGGTAGCCTCTATATCCTTAATAGTAGCTCAACTTTGGTCTTCTACATGAGAACATGTGTTTATTATGAAGAGGAAATGTTGGCAAGGATACTCCCTTACTGTTATCATACTATATCTGATTTCGTTTTTTTAAAGAAACAAAGTCCTACACTTAGTCTCTTTCTCTGTCTTTCTCTCTTTCTTCCCCACTCCTGTCCCTCCTCAGATAAGTGTTATTTCTTAAAACAGACAAGCCCTGCTCATTTAGTAACTCCTTACCATTAACTTTGTCTCTTTTCTAGCCATAAAGATGGTTATGAGAAATACACTGCTTGGAAAAGGATTTGGACTAGTAATGGTAAAAGTGAGCCCAGTCCTAAAGCTTTCATGGCTGATCAACAGCTTCCTTACTGGGTAAGAAAAATAGTGCTTTGACTACAGTAGCAGCTGTAGTTGGCTTTCATTATGGCAGAGGTTTGGGTATATGTGTGTGTTTGTTTTGATTTTAAATGATGTTGAGTGGTCAAGGTGCTGGTTCTGAATGGGTCTCCCTAAAGAGTTTCTAGTATTAGGGAGATGGGTTAGGGCAAGCCAAGGATATAGTCCCAGTCAGTTTTTCTGCTGTCAAAAATCTGTCTCTGCTTCTGCTCTGCCTAAGCACTCCATCCAGCCCTCTTGTTTCTCAGTCTGGCTACTTGGGCAGGAACAAGGATTTATAATGTGGTGCAACTGGGAGCAAATGTAAGAGTTAAAAGATGGTATATGGGAAGAAGATGGCAGCACTAAGAAGCAACAGTGAGAGAGGGAGAATACACACTAGAGGAGGAGGATTCTCAAGAGGTTTTTGGAAAAAGAATAGATGCAAAGGAGCAGTAGCTTCACTGTGTGGAGTGGAATCAGAAAGATAGTTTGGACAGCTGTGGGCATCATAGGATTAATCCCAAGAGGTGCAGAATGATTAAGATCCCCATTGAAATTGGTGGGAGTTGGGTGCCAATACATCTCAGAATGTAAACCCTGTAGGTGGAATTCACCCTCATGCAGATGACTGGCACAAAGCCCTAAGAGCAACTTCCATCTGATGTTAGTCCACAAGGCATAAGTGGCTTGCTGCCCTTGGGTCGATGGTTTGCATGAGGGTGAGTTTCACCTTATGTGAATAATGTATTTAATAACTTCTTTGCAGGTTCTGACCTCAGACCACCTCATTTCCTTGCTGTTGTTTGTTGCATCATCAACTTGACCTTCACTCAATCAGCTGCAGGCTGAAAAGTTTGTTTTTATTTTTAGGTACAGTGCACCAAGCCAGCATGTGGGAAGTGGCGTCAGCTGACAAAGGAAATCCAGCTCACTTCACAAATAGCCAAAACGTACCGTTGTGGTATGAAACTTAGCAATTCTACCAAGGTAATACAAATTCTGGTTGCACCTAATGAAACTGCAAGCAGATGCTTCTGCTGTTTATATGCTGTAGAGCAGTGATTCTCAACCTGTTTGTCATAGTCGGCCACAGTTGCAGCTCTCAACGGGTTATGTGGGCTGCACCCACACTATTTACTTCATGCGTATCCATTTAAAATTGTTTTAACAGGATGTCACATGGGCTTCAGCAGTGTGCTGATTGGCCTGCATGTGGCCTTCAGGTTGAGAACCACCCCTAAAATGTGCTTGTTTCTTCTAATATTTATATTGTCAAAGTAATCAGTTGATTGTCTTGAGAGCTATGTAATTGGTAACCTGCAGCATGCTCAGTTTAGTAAACTGAAGTAGCCAAGACATTGTAAAAATGCCCAAGTAATCAGCTGTAAGCTCATTTGTTTTGAAAATAGTGCTGTACTGCTGCCCCAAATATTTTCACAGAATCATAGAAGTAGGGTCGGAACAGATCTTGTAGATCTTCAGGTCCGACCCCCCACCTGGGTGGGAGAAAGATTGGACTTAAATGAGTCCAGCCAGGTAGTCATCAAGCCTCTTCTTAAAGATCCCCATGATAGGAGCCAGCACCACTTCCCTAGGAAGTTGGTTCCAGCTCCTAGCCGCCCTAACTGTGAAGTAGTTCTTGCGGATGTCTAATCTAAACCTACTCTCTAATACTTTGTGTCCATTGTTCCTTGTCATGCCAGGGGGCGCTAGGGGAAACAGTGTCTCCCCTAAACCCTTCTGGTCCCCCCTAGTGAGTTTATAGACAGTCACCAGGTCCCCCCTCAGCCTTCTCTTGTGAAGGCTGAACAGGTTTAGGTCCCGCAGCCTTTCAATGTAGGGTCTGCCCTGTAGTCCCCAGATCATGC